GAGTGTGGTGGTGAGTGTGGTGGTGAGTGTAGTGGTGAGTGTGGTGGTGAGTGTGGTGGTGAGTGTAGTGGTGAGTGTGGTGGTGAGTGTAGTGGTGAGTGGTGAGTGTAGTGGTGAGTGTAGTGGTGAGTGTAGTGGTGGTGAGTGTGGTGGTGAGTGTAGTGGTGAGTGTGGTGGTGAGTGTAGTGGTGAGTGTAGTGGTGAGTGTAGTGGTGAGTGTAGTGGTGAGTGGTGAGTGGTGAGTGTGGTGAGTAGTGGTGAGTGTAATGGTGAGCGTGTGGTGAGTGCAGGAGGAGGTGAGTCAAGTGGTGAGTGTGTGAGTGTTATGGTGATGGTGAGTGTGTGAGTGTGGTGAGTGTATTGGTGAGTGTAATGGTGAGTGTAGTGGTGAGTGTAGTGCTGAGTGTAGTGGTGAGTGTAATGGTGAGTGTGGTGGTGAGTGGTGAGTGTGTGAGTGTAATGGTGAGTGTACTGGTGAGTGTAGTGGTGAGTGTAGTGGTGAGTGTAATGGTGAGTGTGGTGGTGAGTGTAATGGTGAGTGTGGTGGTGAGTGTAATGGTGAGTGTAGTGGTGAGTGTGGTGGTGAGTGTAGTGGTGAGTGTAGTGGTGAGTGTAATGGTGAGTGTAGTGGTGAGTGTAGTGGTGAGTGTGGTGAGTGTAGTGGTGAGTGTGTAAGTGTAGTGGTGAGTGTGGTGGTGAGTGTAGTGGTGAGTGTAATGGTGAGCGTGTGAGTGTAGTGGTGAGTGTAATGGTGAGTGTAATGGTGAGTGTGGTGAGTGGTGAGTGGTGAGTGTGGTGAGTGGTGAGTGTAATGGTGAGTGTGTGGTGAGTGGTGAGTGTAATGGTGAGTGTGTGGTGAGTGCAGGAGGAGGTGAGGCAAGTGGTGAGGAGGGTTGTGTTGGGTCTGCTGGGCCGTGGAGCTCTGGTGAGGGATTTGTCTGGGCTGGTGAGTGTGGAGTGGTGAGTGGTGAGTGTGGTGGTGAGTGTAGTGGTGAGTGTGGTGGTGAGTGTAGTGGTGAGTGTAGTGGTGAGTGTGTAAGTGTAGTGGTGAGTGTAGTGGTGAGTGTAATGGTGAGTGTGGTGAGTGTATTGGTGAGTGTAGTGGTGAGTGTAATGGTGAGTGTGTGGTGAGTGCAGGAGGAGGTGAGTCAAGTGGTGAGTGTGTGAGTGTTATGGTGATGGTGAGTGTGTGAGTGTGGTGAGTGGTGAGTGGTGAGTGTGGTGAGTGTAATGGTGAGTGTGTGAGTGTAGTGGTGAGTGTGTGGTGAGTGTAGTGGTGAGTGTAGTGGTGAGTGTAATGGTGAGTGTGTGAGTGTAATGGTGAGTGTAGTGGTGAGTGTATTGGTGAGTGTAGTGGTGAGTGTGTAAGTGTAGTGGTGAGTGTACTGGTGAGTGTGTGAGTGTGGTGGTGAGTGTGGTGGTGAGTGTAGTGGTGAGTGTGTGAGTGTAGTGGTGAGTGTAATGGTGAGTGTGTGGTGAGCGTGTGGTGAGTGTAGTGGTGAGTGTAGTGGTGAGTGTAGTGGTGAGTGTAGTGGTGAGTGTGGTGGTGAGTGTAGTGGTGAGTGTGGTGGTGAGTGTAGTGGTGAGTGTAGTGGTGAGTGTAGTGGTGAGTGTAGTGGTGAGTGTGTAAGTGTAGTGGTGAGTGTAATGGTGAGTGTGTGAGTGTAGTGGTGAGTGTAATGGTGAGCGTGTGGTGAGTGTAGTGGTGAGTGTAGTGGTGAGTGTAGTGGTGAGTGTAGTGGTGAGTGTAGTGGTGAGTGGTGAGTGTTAATGGTGAGTGTGTGGTGAGTGCAGGAGGAGGTGAGTCAAGTGGTGAGGAGGGTTGTGTTGGGTCTGCTGGGCCGTGGAGCTCTGGTGAGGGATTTGTCTGGGCTGGTGAGTGTGGAGTGTGGTGAGTGGTGAGTGTGGTGAGTGGTGAGTGGTGAGTGTGGAGTGGTGAGTGGTGAGTGGTGAGTGTGGTGAGTGGTGAGTGTGGTGGTGAGTGGTGTAGGGTGAGTGGTGAGTGTGGTGGTGAGTGGTGTAGGGTGAGTGGTGAGTGTGGTGAGTCTAGTAGTGAGTAGTGGTGAGTAGTGGTGAGTGTAGTGGTGAGTGTAATGGTGAGTGTAATGGTGAGTGTAGTGGTGAGTGTGTGAGTGTAGTGGTGAGTGTAGTGGTGAGTGTAGTGGTGAGTGTAGTGGTGAGTGTGTGAGTGTAGTGGTGAGTGTAGTGGTGAGTGTAGTGGTGAGTGTAGTGGTGAGTGTAATGGTGAGTGTAGTGGTGAGTGTAGTGGTGAGTGTGGTGAGTGTAGTGGTGAGTGTACTGGTGAGTGTAGTGGTGAGTGTGGTGAGTGTAGTGGTGAGTGTAGTGGTGAGTGTGGTGGTGAGTGTAGTGGTGAGTGTGGTGGTGAGTGTAGTGGTGAGTGTAGTGGTGAGTGTAGTGGTGAGTGTGGTGAGTGTAGTGGTGAGTGTAGTGGTGAGTGTAGTGGTGAGTGTAGTGGTGAGTGTGGTGGTGAGTGTAGTGGTGAGTGTAGTGGTGAGTGTGGTGGTGAGTGTAGTGGTGAGTGTAGTGGTGAGTGGTGAGTGTAGTGGTGAGTGTGGTGGTGAGTGTAGTGGTGAGTGTGTGGTGAGTGTAATGGTGAGTGTAGTGGTGAGTGTGGTGGTGAGTGTGGTGGTGAGTGTAGTGGTGAGTGTGGTGGTGAGTGTGGTGGTGAGTGTAGTGGTGAGCGTGTGGTGAGTGTAGTGGTGAGTGTAATGGTGAGTGTGTGGTGAGTGCAGGAGGAGGTGAGTCAAGTGGTGAGTGTGTGAGTGTTATGGTGATGGTGAGTGTGTGAGTGTAGTGGTGAGTGTAATGGTGAGTGTAGTGGTGAGTGTAGTGGTGAGTGTAATGGTGAGTGTAGTGGTGAGTGTAGTGGTGAGTGTAGTGGTGAGTGTAATGGTGAGTGTAATGGTGAGTGTAGTGGTGAGTGTGTGGTGAGTGTAGTGGTGAGTGTGTGGTGAGTGTAGTGGTGAGTGTATTGGTGAGTGTAATGGTGAGTGTGTGGTGAGTGGTGAGTGTAATGGTGAGTGTGTGGTGAGTGGTGAGTGTTAATGGTGAGTGTGTGGTGAGTGCAGGAGGAGGTGAGGCAAGTGGTGAGGAGGGTTGTGTTGGGTCTGCTGGGCCGTGGAGCTCTGGTGAGGGATTTGTCTGGGCTGGTGAGTGGTGAGTGTGGTGAGTGGTGAGTGTGGTGAGTGGTGAGTGTGGTGAGTGGTGAGTGTGGTGAGTGGTGAGTGTGGTGAGTGGTGAGTGTGGTGAGTGTGGTGGTGAGTGTGGTGAGTGTGTGGTGAGTGTAATGGTGAGTGTGTGGTGAGTGCAGGAGGAGGTGAGTCAAGTGGTGAGGAGGGTTGTGTTGGGTCTGCTGGGCCGTGGAGCTCTGGTGAGGGATTTGTCTGGGCTGGGGACGCGGAAACTCCCTTACTCAGTCCGCCGTCACGATCAGGTTCACACCACGGGGTGGTGAGGACAACGCACCACTCACCACGCTACTCACCATGCTACTCACCACACCACTCACTCAGCCACTCACTCACCCACTCACTCACCCACCCTCTCACCCACCCACTCACCCACTCACTCACTCACTCACCCACCCACCCACCCACTCACTCACCCTCTCACACACTCACCCACTCACTCACCCACTCACTCACCCACTCACCCACCCACCCACTCACCCACTCACTCACCCACTCACCCACCCACTCACCCACTCACTCACCCACTCACCCACTCACTCACCCTCTCACCCACTCACTCACCCACCCACTCACCCTCTCACCCACCCACTCACCCACCCACCCACCCACTCACCCACCCACCCACCCACTCACTCACCCTCTCACACACTCACCCACTCACTCACCCACTCACTCACCCACTCACTCACCCACTCACCCACCCACCCACCCACTCACCCACCCACCCACCCACCCACTCACCCACCCACCCACCCACTCACCCACCCACCCACTCACCCACCCACTCACTCACTCACTCACCCACTCACTCACTCACTCACCCACTCACTCACCCTCTCACCCACTCACTCACCCTCTCACCCACTCACTCACCCACTCACTCACTCACCCACTCACTCACCCACTCACTCACTCACTCACCCACTCACTCACCCACCCACTCACTCACTCACCCACCCACTCACCCACTCTCTCACCCACTCACTCACCCACCCACTCACCCACCCACTCACTCACTCACCCACCCACTCACCCACCCACTCACTCACTCACCCACTCACCCACCCACTCACCCACCCACTCACTCACCCACCCACTCACTCACCCACCCTCTCACCCACCCACTCACCCACCCACTCACTCACCCACTCACTCACTCACTCACCCACTCACCCACTCACTCACCCACTCACCCACTCACTCACCCTCTCACCCACTCACTCACCCACCCACTCACCCACCCACCCACTCACCCACCCACCCACCCACTCACCCACCCACCCACCCACTCACTCACCCTCTCACACACTCACCCACTCACCCACTCACCCACTCACTCACTCACTCACCCACCCACCCACCCACTCACCCACCCACCCACCCACTCACCCACCCACCCACCCACTCACTCACCCTCTCACACACTCACCCACTCACCCACTCACCCACTCACCCTCTCACTCACCCACTCACTCACTCACCCACTCACTCACTCACCCACTCACTCACCCACTCACCCACTCACCCACTCACCCTCTCACTCACTCACTCACCCACTCACTCACTCACTCACCCACTCACCCTCTCACTCACCCACCCACCCACCCACTCACCCACCCACCCACCCACTCACCCACCCACTCACCCACTCACCCACCCACTCACCCACTCACCCACTCACTCACTCACCCACTCACCCACCCACTCACCCACTCACCCACTCACTCACCCACTCACTCACTCACTCACCCACTCACTCACTCACCCTCTCACTCACTCACCCTCTCACTCACCCACTCAACCACTCACTCACCCACTCACCCACTCACTCACTCACCCACTCACTCACTCACCCACTCACCCACTCACTCACCCACTCACCCTCTCACTCACTCACTCACCCACTCACTCACTCACTCACCCACTCACCCTCTCACTCACCCACCCACCCACCCACTCACCCACCCACTCACCCACTCACCCACCCACTCACCCACTCACCCACTCACTCACCCACTCACTCACCCACCCACTCACTCACCCACCCACTCACCCACCCACTCACCCACTCACCCACTCACCCACTCACTCACCCACTCACTCACCCACCCACTCACTCACTCACTCACCCACCCACTCACCCACTCACCCACTCACCCACTCACCCACTCACTCACTCACTCACCCACCCACCCACTCACCCTCTCACCCACTCACCCACTCACTCACCCACCCACCCACTCACCCACCCACCCACCCACTCCCTCACCCACCCACCCACTCACTTATCCACCCACCCACCCACTCACCCACCCACTCACCCACTCACTCACCCACCCACCCACCCACTCACCCACTCACTCACTCACCCACTCACCCACTCACCCACCCACTCACCCACCCACTCACTCACTCACCCACTCACCCACTCACTCACCCACCCACCCACTCACTCACTCACCCACCCACCCACTCACCCTCTCACCCACTCACTCACCCACTCACTCACTCACCCACCCACTCACCCACTCACCCACTCACTCACTCACCCACCCACTCACTCACCCACCCACCCACTCACTCACCCACCCACTCACTCACCCACCCACCCACTCACCCACCCACCCACTCACTCACCCACCCACTCACTCACCCACCCACCCACTCACTCACCCACCCACTCACTCACCCACCCACCCACTCACCCACCCACTCACCCACTCACTCACTCACCCACCCACTCACTCACCCACCCACCCACTCACTCACCCACCCACTCACTCACCCACCCACCCACTCACCCACCCACTCACTCACCCTCTCACCCACTCACTCACCCTCTCACCCACTCACTCACCCACCCACCCACTCACTCACCCACCCACCCACTCACTCACCCACCCACTCACTCACCCACCCACTCACTCACCCACCCACCCACTCACTCACCCACCCACTCACTCACCCACTCACTCACCCACTCACCCACTCACCCACTCACCCACTCACTCACTCACCCACCCACTCACTCACCCACCCACTCACCCACTCACCCACCCACTCACCCTCTCACTCACTCACTCACCCTCTCACTCACTCACTCACCCTCTCACTCACCCTCTCACCCACTCACTCACCCACTCACTCACCCACTCACCCACTCACTCACTCACCCACTCACTCACCCACCCACTCACTCACTCACCCACTCACTCACTCACCCACTCACTCACCCACTCACTCACCCACCCACCCACCCACTCACCCACCCACCCACCCACTCACCCACTCACCCACTCACCCTCTCACCCACTCACCCACTCACTCACCATCTCACTCACCCACCCACTCACCCACCCACCCACCCACTCACTCACTCACTCACCCACTCACTCACTCACCCACTCACTCACCCACCCACCCACCCACTCACCCACCCACCCACCCACTCACCCACTCACCCACTCACTCACCCACTCACCCACTCACTCACCCACCCACCCACCCACTCACTCACTCACTCACCCACTCACTCACCCACTCACTCACTCACCCACTCACTCACCCACTCACTCACCCACCCACTCACTCACTCACCCACCCACTCACCCACCCACCCACCCACCCACTCACCCACCCACCCACTCACCCACCCACTCACTCACTCACCCACCCACCCACCCACTCACCCACCCACCCACTCACCCACCCACCCACCCACTCACTCACCCTCTCACCCTCTCACCCTCCCTTTCCCAGCTACTTCATGGTGGCGTTCGAGTCTTCCAGCACGTCGCTCATTCCCCTGCAGGAGGAGCTGTCGCGAGACGTCGACCTGATCCGCTCCACCGTGCTGAGGTCGCGACCCCGTGACCCCGTGACCTCCAGCTGCCCGGGACGACCCCACGACCCCCACGACCTCACCGCCAGGCCGGGCCAGCTCAAGTGACCGCCGCTCGTCCACCCACTGAGTCACTCACTCAGTCACTCAGTCACTCACTTAGTCACTCACTCAGTCACTCACTTAGTCACTCACTCACTTAGTCAGTCACTCACTCAGTCACTCACTCAGTCACTCAGTCACTCAGTCACTCAGTCACTCACTTAGTCACTCACTCAGTCACTCACTCAGTCACTCAGTCACTCAGTCACTCACTCACTCACTTAGTCACTCACTCAGTCACTCACTCAGTCACTCACTCACTCACTCAGTCACTCACTCCGTCACCCACTCACCCACTCACTCACTCACCCACTCACCCACTCACTCACTCACTCACCCACTCACCCACTCACCCACTCACTCACCCTCTCACCCACTCACTCACCCACTCACCCACCCACCCACTCACCCACTCACCCACCCACTCACCCACCCACTCACTCACCCACCCACTCACTCACCCACCCACTCACTCACTCACCCACTCACCCACTCACCCACTCACTCACTCACCCACCCACTCACCCACCCACTCACTCACTCACCCACTCACCCACCCACCCACTCACCCACTCACTCACTCACCCACTCACTCACCCACTCACCCACTCACCCACCCACTCACTCACCCACTCACTCACTTATCCACCCACCCACTCACCCACTCACTCACCCACTCACTCACTCACCCACTCACTCACCCACTCACTCACTCACCCACCCACCCATCCACTCACCAACTCACTCACTCACCCACCCCATAATCAAATCCGGAGGCTCCCCTAGGTCGACTCAGCCACAACAACAACAACAAAAGAACCCCCATCACCACCGGGGGAAGACAAAGACGGCCGGGACAAGGGGGGTTCTAACCCAGTCACTGCCCCTGGTGTTCGCTCTTCAAAGCACTTGCCCCTGCAGCCTGTGTGGGCTACACTTGGGGGAGGAGGGAGTGACCTTTGTATTTGTCTTTGTGTTGTTACATTTGGGTCCCGTGGTTTTTCCGTTTTAAAAAGTGAATTTAATTAACGTAAAGTCGTCTCTCGAATCATTTTGGGGATGTGTGTCCATTTGTTGGAGGTGGCCATGTTGGGTAGGGGTTAGTGGTGGCCATGTTGGGTTGGGGTTAGTGGTGGCCATGTTGTTCATGGCTAGAGGTGGCCATGTTGGGTAAGGGTAGATGTGGCCATGTTCATGGCTAGAGGTGGCCATGTTGGGTAAGGGTAGATGTGGCCATGTTCATGGCTAGAGGTGGCCATGTTGGGTTGGGGTTAGTGGTGGCCATGTTGTTCATGGCTAGAGGTGGCCATGTTGTTCATGGCTAGAGGTGGCCATGTTGTTCATGGCTAGAGGTGGCCATGTTGGGTATGGGTAGATGTGGCCATGTTGGGTTGGGGTAGTGGTGGCCATGTTGGGTAGGGGTGGTGGTGGCCATACTCCTTGGTTCTATTCGGTAAAGTCACGTAGGTAACTTTACCGAATAGAACCAAAGAGTATGGATCCTTGCAGTCACGAAAGCTTTAAATCTAGAAGTGGTGGCCATGTTGGGTAGGGGTAGTGGTGGCCATTTTCATGGCTAGAGGTGGCCATGTTGGGTAGGGGTAGTGGTGGCCATGTTGGGTAAGGGTAGAGGTGTCCATCGTGCAAAATTGTTAATAACAATACACCTTGTGTGTGTTACAAGACATTAAGATAATGCGTTGTGGAGTTTGCAGTGTCCTTGTACACACAATGTGTTAATAACAGTACACCTTGTGTGTGTGTTACAAGACATCAAGATAATGCTTTGTGGAGTTTGCAGTGTCCTTGTACACACAATGTGTTAATAACAGTACACCTTGTGTGTGTTACAAGACATCTAGATAATGCTTTGTGGAGTTTGCAGTGTCCTTGTACACACAATGTGTTAACAACAATACACCTGGTGTGTGTGTTACAAGACATCTAGATAATGCGTTGTGGAGTGTGCAGTGTCCTTGTACACACAATGTGTTAATAACAGTACACCTTGTGTGTGTTACAAGACATCAAGATAATGCGATGTGGAGTTTGCAGTGTACTTGTACACACAATGTGTTAATAACAGTACACCTTGTGTGTGTTACAAGACATCTAGATAATGCTTTGTGGAGTTTGCAGTGTCCTTGTACACACAATGTGTTAATAACAGTACACCTTGTGTGTGTTACAAGACATTAAGATAATGCTTTGTGGAGTTTGAGTGTTCTTGTACACACAATGTGTTAATAACAATACACCTTGAGTGTGTTACAAGACATCTAGATAATGCGTTGAGTGTGCAGTGTCCTTGTACACAATGTGTTAATAACAGTACACCTTGTGTGTGTGTTACAAGACATCAAGATAATGCTTTGTGGAGTTTGCAGTGTACTTGTACACACAATGTGTTAATAACAGTACACCTTGTGTGTGTGTTACAAGACATCTAGATAATGCGTTGGAGTTTGCAGTGTCCTTGTACACACAATGTGTTAATAACAGTACACCTTGTGTGTGTGTTACAAGACATCTAGATAATGCGTTGTGGAGTTTGCAGTGTCCTTGTACACACAATGTGTTAATAACAGTACACCTTGTGTGTGTTACAAGACATTAAGATAATGCTTTTTGGAGTTTGCAGTGTCCTTGTACACACAATGTGTTAATAACAGTACACCTTGTGTGTATGTTACAAGACATTAAGATAATGCGTTGAGTGTGCAGTGTCCTTGTACACACAATGTGTTAATAACAGTACACCTTGTGTGTGTTACAAGACATCAAGATAATGCGATGTGGAGTTTGCAGTGTCCTTGTACACACAATGTGTTAATAACAGTACACCTTGTGTGTGTTACAAGACATCAAGATAATGCGTTGTGGAGTTTGCAGTGTCCTTGTACACACAATGTGTTAATAACAGTACACCTTGTGTGTGTGTTACAAGACATCAAGATAATGCTTTGTGGAGTGTGCAGTGTCCTTGTACACACAATGTGTTAATAACAGTACACCTAGAGTGTGTTACAAGACATCTAGATAATGCTTTGTGGAGTTTGCAGTGTCCTTGTACACACAATGTGTTAATAACAGTACACCTTGTGTGTGTGTTACAAGCCATTAAGATAATGCGTTGTGGAGTTTGCAGTGTCCTTGTACACACAATGTGTTAATAACAGTACACCAGGTGTGTGTGTTACAAGACATTAAGATAATGCTTTGTGGAGTTTGCAGTGTGCTTGTACACACAATGTGTTAATAACAGTACACCTTGTGTGTGTGTTACAAGACATCAAGATAATGCTTTGTGGAGTTTGCAGTGTCCTTGTACACACAATGTGTTAATAACAGTACACCTTGTGTGTGTGTTACAAGACATCAAGATAATGCGTTGTGGAGTTTGCAGTGTCCTTGTACACACAATGTGTTAATAACAGTACACCTTGTGTGTGTGTTACAAGACATCAAGATAATGCTTTGTGGAGTGTGCAGTGTCCTTGTACACACAATGTGTTAATAACAGTACACCTTGTGTGTGTGTTACAAGACATCTAGATAATGCGTTGGAGTTTGCAGTGTCCTTGTACACACAATGTGTTAATAACAGTACACCTTGTGTGTGTGTTACAAGACATCTAGATAATGCGTTGTGGAGTTTGCAGTGTCCTTGTACACACAATGTGTTAATAACAGTACACCTTGTGTGTGTTACAAGACATTAAGATAATGCTTTTTGGAGTTTGCAGTGTGCTTGTACACACAATGTGTTAATAACAGTACACCTTGTGTGTATGTTACAAGACATTAAGATAATGCGTTGAGTGTGCAGTGTCCTTGTACACACAATGTGTTAATAACAGTACACCTTGTGTGTGTTACAAGACATCAAGATAATGCGATGTGGAGTTTGCAGTGTCCTTGTACACACAATGTGTTAATAACAGTACACCTTGTGTGTGTTACAAGACATCAAGATAATGCGTTGTGGAGTTTGCAGTGTCCTTGTACACACAATGTGTTAATAACAGTACACCTTGTGTGTGTGTTACAAGACATCAAGATAATGCGTTGTGGAGTTTGCAGTGTACTTGTACACACATTGTGTTAATAACAGTACACCTAGTGTGTGTTACAAGACATTAAGATAATGCTTTGTGGAGTGTGCAGTGTCCTTGTGCACACAATGTGTTAATAACAGTACACCTTGTGTGTGTGTTACAAGACATCTAGATAATGCGTTGTGGAGTGTCCTTGTACACACAATGTGTTAATAACAGTACACCTTGTGTGTGTGTGTGTTACAAGACATTAAGATAATGCTTTGTGGAGTTTGCAGTGTCCTTGTACACACAATGTGTTAATAACAGTACACCTTGTGTGTGTGTTACAAGACATTAAGATTTATGCGTTGTGGAGTTTGCAGTGTCCTTGTACACACAATGTGTTAATAACAGTACACCTTGTGTGTGTGTTACAAGACATCAAGATAATGCTTTGTGGAGTGTGCAGTGTCCTTGTACACACAATGTGTTAATAACAGTACACCTAGAGTGTGTTACAAGACATCTAGATAATGCTTTGTGGAGTTTGCAGTGTCCTTGTACACACAATGTGTTAATAACAGTACACCTTGTGTGTGTGTTACAAGACATCTAGATAATGCGTTGTGGAGTTTGCAGTGTGCTTGTATACACAATGTGTTAATAACAGTACACCTAGTGTGTGTTACAAGACATCAAGATAATGCTTTGTGGAGTTTGCAGTGTCCTTGTACACACAATGTGTTAATAACAGTACACCTTGTGTGTGTGTTACAAGACATTAAGATAATGCTTTGTGGAGTTTGCAGTGTCCGTGTACACACAATGTGTTAATAACAATACACCTTGTGTGTGTTACAAGACATCAAGATAATGCGTTGTGGAGTGTGGAGTTTGCAGTGTACTTGTACACACAATGTGTTAATAACAGTACACCTTGTGTGTGTGTGTGTTACAAGACATTAAGATAATGCTTTGTGGAGTTTGCAGTGTCCTTGTACACACAATGTGTTAATAACAGTACACCTTGTGTGTGTTACAAGACATCTAGATAATGCGTTGTGGAGTGTGGAGTGTGCAGTGTCCTTGTACACACAATGTGTTAATAACAGTACACCTTGTGTGTGTGTTACAAGACATTAAGATAATGCGTTGTGGAGTGTGCTGTGTCCTTGTACACACAATGTGTTAATAACAGTACACCTTGTGTGTGTGTTACAAGACATCAAGATAATGCGTTGTAGAGTTTGCAGTGTGCTTGTACACACAATGTGTTAATAACAGTACACCTTGTGTGTGTGTTACAAGACATTAAGATAATGCGTTGTGGAGTGTGCAGTGTCCTTGTACACACAATGTGTTAATAACAGTACACCTTGTGTGTGTTACAAGACATCTAGATAATGCGTTAGAGTGTGCAGTGTCCTTGTACACACAATGTGTTAATAACAGTACACCTTGTGTGTGTTACAAGACATCTAGATAATGCTTTGTGGAGTTTGCAGTGTCCTTGTACACACAATGTGTTAATAACAGTACACCTTGTGTGTGTTACAATACACGAAGCCATGTTGGGTGGGAGGTGGTGGCCATTTTGGATAGGGGGGGGGGGGTGCTGGCCATGTTGGGTGGGTGTGGAGGTGGCCATGTTGAATGGGGGGAGCCATGTTGAATGGGGGGGAGCCATGTTGGGTAGGGGAGGGTGGCCATGTTTGATGAGGGGGAGCCATGTTGGTTAGGGAGGGTACAAAGCTCAGAGCAAACAGCTTACGCACAGACCCAACATAATTTTATTTTAAAAAATCAGTAATTAAAACCACACAAACACAACAACGTTATCATCTTTTGATTTAAAGCTTTCGTGACTGCAGTAATTCATATTCTTAGTTTTTTTTCGGTAAAGTCACGTTGCAGAGAAACAACAAAATAATAATATATATAAAACAATAAAAAACAATAAATAAGTTCTTAATTGATTGTTCACGCTTACAGTGGCTTTCAGACAGCATACATTATAAAAAAAATTCGTCTCCCCCCTCCTCTTTTCAAAAAATATAGATGGACTAGTCCTGGGTAAACTACCAAATCGCTGCGCGTGGCGCTAACGTTTTTTATAAATAAATAAATGTGCCGTTTAAAAATAAATTTATGCAAACCAACACACACCTGAAGACGACCGTTTGTGTTATGGTCGAAACGTCGTGAGAATTTTTTTTATTGTTTTATATATATATTTTATTTTGTTGTTTCTCTTCAACGTGATGACTTTACCGAAATAACTAAGAATATAACGTTATCATCGTCATCATCGTTGTTATTATTATTATTAGATTTGATTGTCACATCAAACGGTGAACACGCACAAACAATTTAACAAGCACGCAGACACACACACACAAGACAAAGACTCCCGCTCCGTATAGCCTCAACAGACTGTTGGGGCAAGTGCTGTGAGCCAGTAGCAGCAGCAGCAGCTGCAGGCTTTGCAGTCCGGCACAGCACACGAGGGGGTGGGTGGTCAGCACCACGCCCGCTCGCCTTTGTCTCCCCCAGTGGCGATGTTTACTACACACAGCTGCTACACCAGCTACTACTCACTGGAGGATCACCCCACTCACTCCTCACCACTCCACTCCTCACCACTCCCTCCTCACCCCACTCCTCACCACTCCACTCCCAGCTCACCCCACTCCTCACCACTCCACTCACCACTCCTCACCACTCCCCAGCTCACCCCACTCACTCCTCACCACTCCCCAGCTCACCCCACTCACTCCTCACCACTCCCCCACTCACTCCTCACCACTCCACTCCCAGCTCACCCCACTCACTCCTCACCACTCCACTCCTCACCACTCCCCAGCTCACCCCACTCACTCCTCACCACTCCACTCCTCACCACTCCTCACCCCACTCCTCACCCCACTCCTCACCACTCCACTCCCAGCTCACCCCACTCACTCCTCACCACTCCCAGCTCACCCCACTCCTCACCACTCCTCACCACTCCCTCCTCACCACCCCTCACCACTCCCAGCTCACCCCACTCCTCACCACTTCCAGCTCACCCCACTCCTCACCACTCCCAGCTCACCCCACCACTCACCACTCCTCACCACTCCCAGCTCACCCCACTCCACACCACTCCTCACCACTCCCAGCTCACCTCACTCCTCACCACCACTCACCACCACTCACCACTCCTCACCACTCCCAGCTCACCCCCTCCCTCCTCACCACTCCTCACCACTCCCAGCTCACCCTCACCACTCCTCACCACCACTCACCACTCCTCACCACTCCCCACCACCACTCACCACTCCTCCCCACTCCTCACCACTCCCAGCTCACCCCCTCCCGCACCACTCCTCACCACTCCCTCCTCACCACTCACTCCTCACCACTCCCAGCTCACTCCTCACCACTCCCCACCACTCACCACTCCCCACCACTCACCCCCACTCACCACTCCTCACCACTCCTCACCACTCCCCACCACCACTCACCACTCCTCACCACTCCTCACCACTCCCAGCTCACCCCACTCCCCACCACTCCCAGCTCACCCCACTCCTCACCACCACTCCTCACCACTCCCAGCTCACCCCACTCCTCACCACTCCTCACCACTCCCAGCTCACCCCACTCCTCACCACTCCCAGCTCACCCCCTCCCTCCTCACTACTCCTCACCACTCCTCACCACTCCTCACCACCACTCACCACTCCCAGCTCACCCCCTCCCTCCTCACTACTCCTCACCACTCCTCACCCCACTCCTCACCCCACTCCTCACCACTCCACTCCCAGCTCACCCCACTCACTCCTCACCACTCCCAGCTCACCCCACTCCTCACCACTCCTCACCACTCCTCACCACCCCTCACCACTCCCAGCTCACCCCACTCCTCACCACTTCCAGCTCACCCCACTCCTCACCACTCCCAGCTCACCCCACCACTCACCATTCCTCACCACTCCCAGCTCACCCCACTCCACACCACTCCTCACCACTCCCAGCTCACCTCACTCCTCACCACCACTCACCACCACTCACCACTCCTCACCACTCCCAGCTCACCCCCTCCCTCCTCACCACTCCTCACCACTCCCAGCTCACCCTCACCACTCCTCACCACCCCTCACCACTCCTCACCACTCCCCACCACCACTCACCACTCCTCCCCACTCCTCACCACTCCCAGCTCACCCCCTCCCTCACCACTCCTCACCACTCCCTCCTCACCACTCACTCCTCACCACTCCCAGCTCACTCCTCACCACTCCCCACCACTCACCACTCCCCACCACTCACCACCACTCACCACTCCTCACCCCTCCTCACCACTCCCCACCACCACTCACCACTCCTCACCACTCCTCACCACTCCCAGCTCACCCCACTCCCCACCACTCCCAGCTCACCCCACTCCTCACCACCACTCCTCACCACTCCCAGCTCACCCCACTCCTCACCACTCCTCACCACTCCCAGCTCACCCCACTCCTCACCACTCCCAGCTCACCCCCTCCCTCCTCACTACTCCTCACCACTCCTCACCACTCCTCACCACCACTCACCACTCCCAGCTCACCCCCTCCCTCCTCACTACTCCTCACCACTCCTCACCACTCCCAGCTCACCCCACTCCTCACCACCACTCACCACTCCTCACCACTCCTCACCACTCCCAGCTCACCCCCTCCCTCCTCACTACTCCTCACCACTCCTCACCACTCCCAGCTCACCTCACTCCTCACCACCACTCACCACCACTCACCACTCCTCACCACTCCCAGCTCACCCCCTCCCTCCTCACCACTCCTCACCACTCCCAGCTCACCCTCACCACTCCTCACCACCCCTCACCACTCCTCACCACTCCTCACCACTCCCCACCACCACTCACCACTCCTCCCCACTCCTCACCACTCCCAGCTCACCCCCTCCCTCACCACTCCTCACCACTCCCTCCTCACCACTCACTCCTCACCACTCCCAGCTCACTCCTCACCACTCCCCACCACTCACCACTCCCCACCACTCACCACCACTCACCACTCCTCACCACTCCTCACCACTCCCCACCACCACTCACCACTCCTCACCACTCCTCACCACTCCCAGCTCACCCCACTCCCCACCACTCCCAGCTCACCCCACTCCTCACCACCACTCCTCACCACTCCCAGCTCACCCCACTCCTCACCACTCCTCACCACTCCCAGCTCACCCCACTCCTCACCACTCCCAGCTCACCCCCTCCCTCCTCACTACTCCTCACCACTCCTCACCACCACTCACCACTCCCAGCTCACCCCCTCCCTCCTCACTACTCCTCACCACTCCTCACCACTCCCAGCTCACCCCACTCCTCACCACCACTCACCACTCCTCACCACTCCTCACCACTCCTCACCACTCCTCACCACTCCCAGCTCACCCCCTCCCTCCTCACTACTCCTCACCACTCCTCACCACCACTCACCACTCCTCACCACCACTCCTCACCACCACTCCTCACCACCACTCACCACCACTCACCACTCCTCACCACTCCCAGCTCACCCCCTCCCTCCTCACTACTCCTCACCACTCCTCACCACCACTCA